CATATTACCTGGAGAAGGTTACTTGAAAACATTCACATATAGTCATATTTGTTCCACTTAAACTTCATTTTAAATGCCTGAACGTTTAGGTATTTAGTCTACTCGCATTTAACAGGAATGGTTTGACCATCTTTCAACGGAATCAGTTCACGTAGTAGTTAATGACCACGGAGTAAAGTAATGTAGTGGTCAAATGGTTTGTTGGGATAAATAGAAAGTGAGAGGCAAACTTTAAATGATCAACCAATCGCCGTATTCGACAGTTCGGTGCTGTAAATCCGTAGTTTTATATTACTCATTTTCAACCTTGACGATATTCGGTAGACAGATCGAGTAGGGAGTACGTCGCTTAATGTTGTGTAAATAGATTTTCACAAAGTACATTTCAGTAAAATCTACAATTAAACTCTCAAACTTGCACTAATTGCGAGGTTGCATGTCAGATGCTAGGTAACGCTACACCATATTTCTCAGCCGAATTCTGTCAGTTCAAAACAGTTCTATTGTTCGGATCCACAAAGTGAAGAACTACCACAGTCATCATCGAAAATGTACACAAGATACTCCAGGTCCGTTGGCTAAATATTTTTAGCAACAACCTACTATTCTACCGGACAAACCAGCTCCCAGATGAAAAGTAAGTTAGAAACAGACGTTGGAGATGGATAGAACATACGATTTGGGAATAATCAAACTCCACCACGAGGAAAGCCCTAACTTAACATCCCGAAGGAAAACAGAAAAGAGGAAGATCAAGGAACACATTGTGCAGGGAATCGAAAGCAGACATCAAAAGAATGAACAACAATTGAAAACAACTGGAAGGAAGAGCCCAGGATACAGTTGGTTTGAGAATTATGACAGGCGATTGATAGTGCCATGAAGAGTAACAGGCGTGAGTAACACTATATTAAATACCAATGTATCTGTCTTAACTTTCTTCAGCAACATTATGTGTTATAACTCATCGCTTTTTATTGCTTGCAAATGATACACGAAGGTGGGTACTGCATCTCTCTACGTCGTGTTACCTACTGAACTTGCTAAAATTTTCCCGTGAGCTCAAAAGATTCCAAGTCAATGCAATGTATCCCCTTTTAGTGGGATCACTTGTTTAGCCTACCTAAGTATAACATTCGTGGAAGCCTAGAAGTTCCGTTAAACTAAGAACACTGAAACTATTCACTCTATGCTTAACAGTCTTATCTAAGTTTTTTTATGCATCCAGGTAGGATAAAACGAATGATTACCAAAACATCTTAAGTGACTGACATCACCGTTTATCCCATGGTCAACACGTAAGCTATCACATTGCCCTCCATGGATCGATAAGGAAACCTGGAAGCTGTCGAAGCGTAGGAAACACTTCTGGGACTTATTCTTGTTAACAGGTCATGTATCATTTACGCGTGAGTACCGAAAATTCCGGAATATTGTAAGAAAATCATAAATGAACCCCGTACTACTTACGAACGACAGTTGGTATGTTAAACGGCGAATAAAATGTAGTGATGGTATTTCCCCGTTGCTGTTACACGAAAATTCAGATTTACTAGCTGAATCAGATGAGGCAAAAGCTGAGACTTTCAAACTATTTTAGCGAAGTATACTCTACACTTACTGTAACAAATACTTGTCCCACTCACACCGAGATACCAGCCATTGAATCTGTGCAGGTGACTGAGGAAACTGTCCTTCCGTTGATAACTAACCTCAAACCTCATAAGATACCGGGTCCTGACTGGTTACATCCACGGCTGCTGTCATCTCTTACGGACATTATTTCAAAACCGCTTGCGACATTCTTTAATATATCCCTTTAACTCGCTCAACTCCCTGGAGATTGGAAAGACGCTATAGTCAGCCCTTTATTTAAGGATGGTCAGAGACAGATAGTATCTAACTACCGGCCTGTCAGTCTAACTAGCATAGTCGTCAAGTGACTTAAAAAGATAATTCGGGTTAGGTTGCTAATCCACATAGATTATCACAACCTGTTAGCTCCTGAGCAACACGGACTTCGTAACAAGTGTTCATGCTTGACTAACTTACTGCGAGAGAGGATTGGACAGCAGCCTTAGATAAAGGTCTGTCTGTCGATGTGATATTCATAGATTTTAGCAAATCATTTGACAAGGTTTCACACTTTGGTCTTATGCAGAAGCTTACGAGCTTCGGAATAATAGGTACTGTATAGGAGTGGATAGGCAACTTCTTATGTGACCACAGACAGAGAGTGAGGGTCAATGGAACGCTATCCGATTGGAAGCCGGTCAAAAGTGTTTTACCCCATGGCACCATCTTCGGCCCTCTGCTCTTCCTTCTCTACGTTAATGAGTTACCGCTGTTGCATAGGTCGTCGACATTATTGTTTGCGGATGACGTAAAAATCTGGAGAACAATAAAAAAATGAAGCTGATCAGCTGGATCTTCAAGTTGACTTAGACGATTAAGTAAGGTGGGCTCGAGGTTGGGGATTAGAAATCAATTATAGGAAGAGTGTGCTAATGCACATCGGTCACGGTAATAGTTACCATTATACTATTGATGGTAAACCTCTTCCATGCGTTCGAAAGCATAAAGATTTGGGAGTAATAATAAGTCATGACTTAAAAACAACTACGCATAGCAACGCAGCCGCTGTCAAAAGTTTTCGTGCTTTATGGTCACGTCACCGAGCGTTCAAATCTTTTGACGAGGAAATGTTTCGAATTTTATATCCCACCTATGCAAGACCACATTTAGAGTGCTGTATCCAAGCAGCTAGCCCATCTATGGTAAAGGATACTAACTCACTTGAGCGTTTCCAGCGTGTATGAACGAAATTGGTGAAGGGTCTTCCTAAACTCCCTTACGATGAGAGTTTAAAACGCCTAAACCTTTTCCCATTGTCGTATCGTAGGACGCGAGGTGACCTTATACTGGCATTTCGTATATTTAATTATAATTTGGGTGTTAATATGTCATATCTTGTCGCTCCCTCTAGCACTAATAATCTCTGAGGTCATAGCAAGAAGGTTAATAGACCGCGATCTAATAAACTTAAAGTGGGGTCCCGTTTTTCTCATCGAGTAGTCAATGATTGGAGTGCCTTACCAGAACAAGTAGTATCAGCCCCATCAGTGATTATTTTCAAGGAGAAACTGAATCTTCACTCGAAGGCAATCTGTCAGGATTAACACAGGTGTACCAACCTACTATCCTCATTACTGAAGACTGACCTAAAGAGAGGTCAGTTTAAAAGTATTTACTGTGACGGGGTTAAAATCATGTATGGTGTTGTTGATAGATTCTGTTTTTCTTTGTATTGCAAGGTAACCAAGAATAAGTGATTTGTACGAAGAAGAGAAAGCTCTGCATGCACTGAACCCACAGGATAACTCATGAGACTGTTTTGTAGAATAACTCTCCCTTTTGTTGATAACCCGCGAATTTTCACTCCGTGTCCTCTATGTTTGGTGTGAACTGCTTGGTTAACATTATCTGTGTTGTGGTTTTAGGTCTTCCTGCCCTTCAGTGACTGCTGATTACACGTGTTACACTACCTGGCATTTTCTGTGTTGAAGTATGATGGTGATTATACGTTTGTGCTTAGTGCATTTGTAATTAACGTGAAACCAAGTTATAGATGGGAGAATTTCTAAAATCCCTATTTAGTTCTCGTCCTCCCAAGTCATAATTCGGAAGTCACAGCTATAAAGCTAGGGCAGAAACCTAACCAAAACGTCAGTCAGTCAGTAACAACGTAGAACTTCGTACGTACGTACATCAGTTCGAGTTGCCACCACATTAGCACAGAAATGCAGTGGTCGATTCGAACCCCGTAGTGGTAGAGTTAATAAGAGTATAAGCAATAATCGAGAAGATTAGTGTTTGGAGATGTTATTCTAGGGGTATAATACAGAGAAATAAATTTGGAAAGAGAAAAAAGAAACGGACATGAAAAATTCAGAAGATTAGAACTTGAGAGAACAAAAAGAGTGTATACACCTGCACCTTTGCAAACGATTTTGAGCCATGTCATTCAGGGTCTAACCATCGGTTGCTATCATCTCGTGGTCCCCAACCAGGTGGTCTACATCTACCAACATGACTCAGTCCACTTGTCAGTTTCACTACGTCATCGATTGATTTGCCAAGCTTACCTAGTGCCCGTTTCCTAACAACTGCATTACTTACTCGATGGTCCCAGGATATACGAGCAATATTTCGAAGATACCTATGATCAAATACTAGTAACCTACGGATATCCTCTACTCTTACCGGCCATGTTTCACTGCCATAAAGTAGGACGGAACGAACTGCTGCGCAGTAAACACGTCCTTTGGTTGATAGACAGATATCTCGCCTGCGCCATAAATGACGCAAGTTGGTAAAAGCTGGTCGAGCCTTCTGTATCCTTGCTGAAATTTCGTCACACACCAGACCACAAGGGCTGATGAGACTTTCAAGATAAGTGAAGCGATCGACACGCTCAATTACTTCACTCCCTATCATTAGTTCGGGTGTCGATGCAACCCAATCCTGAAGCAAAATTTTGCATTTCGAGGGGGAGAATCGCATGCCGAACATGCTTGCATTGTTGCTTAGAGTGGTCAGAAGACTCTGCATCTTCGCCAAATAGAACTATGTCATCGGCATATTCTAGGTCAAAAAGTGAATTTCCTGGTAGAAGTTCAACTCCTAGAAATTTAGACGAGAAAAGTGTTGGCCAAAAAGTAGACAGTTTGGTGTAAATTCCACTACATTTTCGACTCAGAGCGACAAAAAAATGAGAAAGTTTCTGTTTCTCAAGTTGTCTGCGGTATTAGTTTGGTCTAGGGCATAGAAAATTTATTCCTAGCCTTAATAGTCTGATAAATTAGTATAATTTGCAAACAGTCTACCACTGTTGGGAAAAGTCTCTCTATCTGGGCTTTATCAAATATATAAAAATGGATATTTGTTGAATTTTATCTCCCTTCTAGTTTGTATTTGTGATTCTTACCTTAGCTGTGAAAATGAACACACCTGAACCTACTATTCAGAATATTTTGGACTCAAGTACTTTGCGTTGGATCTTTGTCGGAGGTAAAGGTGGAGTTGGAAAAACGACATGCAGTTGCAGCATTGCTGTTCAAATGGCCAAAGTACGTGAGCGTGTTCTCATTTTGAGCACGGATCCTGCTCATAACCTTTCGGATGCGTTTGACCAAAAGTTTTCAAAAAATCCTACTAAAGTTAAGGTAAGTACGAAGTTTGCTTTTGACTTTTCATCGATGCATTTTTTATTAGTTTGTTTCCGTTTGCTTTAGCAATATAGACGTTTCAGTACTTCAAATTTAAAGTGCTCGAATCAAATCAGCTTTTGCTAGTGTCTGCCTGTTTAGAATATTTTATCGGTGTGCTAGGAAACAAATGTTTATTTACCTGGGGTTCAGTTTATTGGTATTTTCTATACAGAGGAGTACTTTTTCAGGTTTGAGATTCTGACGTATGTACTAAAGACATGAGACCAATGGTCTGTGTTAGTCCTTTTTTAGCAAGCCACAGTGAAACTATAACTTATGGATGACCTTTGAGTCACAGTAAAGTGACCCTGAGAATATCTGCCTACTAACTAGGACTAAAGGGCGGTTATTGAGCAATGTGAGGGATTAAAATTATGATTTACGGTTGGTGGTTAGGAATTAAATTTAGGGTTTTCATCGCGAACCACACATAGGCCATAATACCGAAACGCTATTTAGGCAAATGGACAAATGAATTTCGCACCAAAATCCAAGGCCTGCTATCCTATATCTGATTTGTTAGTCCATAAGTTTTAGTCTCCTCCAAGCCTCTATGAGCCTCATGTCTTCTCTTGGATGGGTCGATCGATTGTGTAGACATCGCTTCTTACGTTGGTAGGTCCTGGAAGTCGTTGGCTCGGTTGGAAAATCCTTTTCGCCGATATTTTGTCGGTTCTTGACTTCTGAACTCCCCTCCTCTGAGTTGTGCTGATTTTTTAGGAAGCAGGAGGAAGGATATTTCAGGTTGGAAATCATTTAGTATTCTATACATCAAAATCGGATCACCTCTTTATGATAAGATTCAGTAAAGTGATCTAACCTCTCAAGGCATCCTGTGTAAGCCTCGGAATTCTGGAATTGTTCTTATAGCTGTCCTTTGTGATTTTTCTGAGGTATTTTAGTCATCTTTAAAGCATGGACTTGCAGTATGAACCCAGTTTTCAAGTCTGGAACGTACTAAAATTGTATATACTGTAACAAACACTTTCGTATCCGATTTGGTATGTGTCTATCTTAATTCAAATAGGGTTCCAACCGCGAGGCAATGAGGTTGGGCTCACTATTACCCCTAGATCATTGTGAAATAGGACTAAAAGCATCATAACTTCTCCAATGCTGTGATTATCTTCCTTTGTATATCAAATGTACATGTAGGCACACTTAGGCACATTGGTAGGCATCAACCACTACTTAGACCGGCTAAGCAAAACGTTTTTACTATTTATTTATTTGGACATAAACATTAGTACAAGGGAGCACCAAATACATATGCGTCACAATGAAAATAAGGCCAGTAGTGGTTATCATTGATTTGTATGATGGCTGGACTACTACTCGGGTGCCCAAACCGAAGTAGGTGGTTTTCTTGGGGGTCGCGTCCTGAGCCTTTAATCTAAATGTCTAATCCACAAGGTAGTGGAGCAACGTTGGGGGATGCAGTCCCATGGTAGCCAGTGACCAACAAAGGGTTCATACGCCTTTCGTTCCCTCGCGATTCTGAAGACTATGTGTACCATTGGTTTGGAACCAAGGTTTTCCAACTCCTCCAAGTAGACTCTCCGTGTCCACCAACTCAGTTAAAGCTTTGGACATTCACTTTTCGTCCTTTTAATTTCGTAAACAACACTCCCGCTGGGAGAAGACAGTGAGTAGGACTTTACTGGCAGTGGTTATATGCACGTTGCTATTTGAGAGCATTTCGATAGGAGGAGCTGACTCCCCACTTTCGGCCGTATTTGGGGCACGTTGCTCCACTACCTTGTGGATTAGCTTTTTAAGTCAAAGGCTAGGGGTATAGGCCCATAAGAAAACCACCTGCTTCGGCTTGGGCACCCATGCAGTATACCTGACCTCACACAAACTGGATGATTTATGTGTCGCATATCTATTTGGTGCCTATTTTGTGCCAATGCTTATGTGTTTAAATGAATAAATAAATTTTCAGTCCAACTTGGCAATGGATGTATGTCACTTTTAGCCTGTCACTGACTTCATTGTTTTCTAGTCAAATCTTGTAGAGCCGAATTTCTAGATATTATCACTAACATAGTTCACTCACACAATTTGGTAAAACACTTTCCCCGGTAACTCAGAAAACCAAGTTTCTTTACTTTTTTATTTGTAGACGTAGTGATGTGGTTCATTATGCAAACAATCACTGCAATACTTGTTACTTATTTCATCAGATGTAGCAGACCTAAGAATGAGAGTTGCAGATTGCCTACTGCTTATACAGACATACCAGGTCATTTTTTCTCCTCACGGTTTCGGTTTGATTACTTAATAGGCTGTCCCCATTGACAACTAAAGAATGTACTATTTTTGAGAAATTTTGTTTCTTGTTGTTAGAAAACAATCAAAAAGAAGTCTAAAACCCGAATTTCGACCTTGCTCGAGCTAATCTAAAGAAAACACATACAATTCTGCAGAAAAATTCATCTTCCTTAAGTTCGATTGTCTTTTAATGCCTCAGTCCATGACGATACCGTTAAAGGATTAGGGTCGCTACTGGTTTTCTATGAGACCGGATAATGTATACGAAGTTGGTATTTTGTGATAACTTGGTCAGTTGGCGCTGGCATTCATTCCATTTTCTGGCCATTTAATTTTACTGTTATTTTGTTTATCACACGTCGGACTTGATGGTGTTTATTATACAAAACGAAGTGATACGGTTGTAAATATATAGGAGTGGAAATTATATAATCAAAATAAACAACAAGACTATCGAAGGTTACATTCTGATTAAGAACCAAGGCGAAATTTGTTTAATTTGAAGGTATATGTTTCTGTTTATGAAGAACCTTAACTTCTACTTTGATTCATTTGTGATAAGGTCCCAAACCATCTGGCGAAGGCGAGACATCCACCTACCAATAAAACGACAAGTATACTGCGCGGCAGTTCATTCTGTTCTACTTTATGGCTGCGACACGTGGCCATTAAGAGTGGAAGATACTCATAGGCTACTAGTATTTAATCATATATGTCTTGGAAATATTGCTCGCATCTGCTGGGGTCACCGGGTAAGTAATAGTGAGGTTAGACGCAGGGTATTAGGGAATGGTGGTAAATCAGTTGATGAGGTTGTGAATTTTCATTGACTGAGATGGTTGGGCCACGTGTTACGTATGCTTGAACACCGATTACGACGTCGCGGAATGCTGACTAGTGTTGGAGATGGTTGGAGGAACGTTAGGGGTGGTCAATCCAAAACTTGGCATCGGTAATTGAGGTCACTAATTTTTGGTCTTAGTCATGTTGGTAGATAAAGACTACTTGGTTGGGGTCTGCACTTAGTAACACAGCACAAATGTTGTGTTATTTCTCAGTATTATATCAACTTTGATCTGGACTAACAACTACTGAGAAGTCATGCTTACCACCTGGTGACTAATTCATTTATATTAGAAAGATAAATTAAGTCAGAACGCGTTATATTTCAAGTTTTGTAGTTTAAAAATTTAATTATTGATTTGGTCATGGGTAATAAATTTACTTCAAACGCTACCGACTTAACGATTTATTAGACCAAAGGTAATATTCATTATGGACTGACATCAACTGGATAATCATTCAAACTAGAAGCACGCGATAGCAGTTACTTTATCGGCTGACGATTTTCGTTAGTGCACACAAACTACCAGACTATATTAAGTGTAGGGCTTCCAGGTTTCGCGACAAACGCATTCAACAACTATGTCAGTATCCAATAGTTTATATGTTCCAGTGGGATCATTATCTAATGTGGCGAGGGGATAACTTCCTTACTGCCTAGATGGTTGATACTGGGGTCACGGATTATCAGTGAAACTTCAGAAAATATCTGAAGCTAATCGCTAATGAGTAATTGGGTGATTTTGAGTGTTTGTTGAGAATCTTATTTGGTACTGAACATGCAATATTGAATAAAGTTACTACTATTATCATTATTATTCAGGTTTCAGAAAAGTTTTTACAGGAACTGATATCATCTAGTGAAGTATTAAATACTAGATGCCATAGATGGGGACTTCCAAAAAGTAATAACTGTAGAATGGTCTCGTGTGGAATCATTTTTGTACTAATAGAAATCCGTAACTGAATCCATCGTCAAAATGAGTGATGGCCTAGTAATTAGGAGATTGCTGTTCTAAATAATAGATCGCGAGTTCGAGTCCTACTCCTCCTATCTTGGTTTAGACACCCAGATAGTACTTATAGCCAATGCACAGGTATTTTGACCTGAAGATAAATGGAAAAATTTGCGCTTGGCAAATTAGTTACTTACATATATATAACTAAATGATGTTCAAATTTGAGTTGATGTTTCTCAAGTTGTCCTTTTTAAACTTCAGGAATACTTTTCGTCAATTCTAACTGTCCAGGATGTACTCTTTTCTGGTTTTAGGGTTTTAATAATCTTTTTGCTATGGAAATTGACCCAAATGTGAACTTAGGAGAGTTCGAAGAGGATCTAGTTGGTTCTGAAGAAGCAGCAGTTTCCGCTGATATACGTAAAACCATAGGTCACTTGATGACTTCTTTCCCTGGGGTGGATGAGTATATGTCTTATACAGAGGTGTTTCGGTTGGTCCGTAATATGGATTATTCAGTCGTCATTTTTGATACTGCTCCTACTGGCCACACACTACGATTGTTAGCGTTTCCAGAGGCTATGGAGAAAAGCCTTAGCAAAGTAGTCTCAATGAAAAATCAGGTAAGTAGCAATTGTTCCAATCTGGTCGACTTTCTCGAAAATCATTTTTTTACTAGTTAAATGTTTGCTAACGTAATTTAAGATCTGTACGATAGCTACAAGTAAACACTACTTGTCTTCATTGGTTACTAGATGGGTGCACTCAAAACACTCTGGAGGGCTTTGGGGAGTTTATTTACCGAGACTAGTGTATCTTCCCATACAGACTGGTAAAATTCTAATAACCATGTATAATAATTGGCTGGCGACTAGTAAATTATTCCAAATTTAATTCTGTCAACTTATTATTGAGCCTACTATGAGTTAAATGTAAATTGTTTTAGAAAATCAAATGTATTAGTCGTCCAATATCTTAAAAACACTTTTTATTTGTTGAAACACCACTCTGGGAGTATTATTTAGGCTGGGAAGTGAATTTCTTGCTGATCGAATCATGTAGTAGGTTAGTGTAACTTCATCAAGTGGAACAGATGACAAACCTCTTATTTAAATAACGAATATTAAGTGTGAATAAAAATTGCATTCACCTAATCTCTCTGCATCGCTTAACAAATTATTACTATATGTTTCTTGCTTCTCGTTATGTTTCTTTTTCCTTAGCAGTAGTTTGGGACCAACCGCATTAGTGTGATTCGTGTAGTTAGCATGTCATCGTATAATACTGCTGTATCAACCACACGGAAAGTTTCTTGAATAGAGAAGTTCTTGGACTAGTATTTGTGTATCACATCAGAAAAATCTAAATATTTTACTTTCATTAAAGAGTTATTTCGGTTGTTTAAATAATTTTACGCTTGTCTCGCATATTTTTTTTGTGTAAATTGTGATATCTTCCGTCCATCTTCGTGAACCGCATTTCTATACTTGTTTTTAAAATTTTTAAGAACGAATCAAGATAATTACCAACTGGTCCTACGTAATACATGGTGGAATCATACAAATTTATTTAAACTTATTCATGTTTTTGGTGGAGTTTTGTTCTCTGAGCTGGATAGTTTGGTCGTGGAGCTTTCATCGTTCTTCTGAACGACATCATCAGCACAAACTTCAAATAGAAGTGAAGTGTTAGAATTTCTCCATATGTGTTTCACAGCTTGTTCTGTGCACCTCGATGTTGATTGGTTCTTGTTGACCTTAAATTTATCATTGTTTACTTCTTTGTTTTGGTTGTGTCTTCCATTGGTTTGATTTTCGTTCCTATATTTATGCATGATTTTTCTGATTGGTTGATAAATTGGATTGATTTCAATATGTTTGTTGATTGCTGATTGACCTGAGTGCCAGGCTTCTAAAAATTCTCTGGTATTTTTGGAGTTTCCTCTGTCTAAGATTTCTACATTTTCCCAATCGAATGAGTGTCCGTAGTTATCCACGTGTATTGATATAAGTGAAGAGATATCATGGCGTTTGACTGCTAATTGATGTTCATGTAAGCGTAGATGGAGGGGGCGTCCGCTTTGCCCGATGTAGTGTTTGTCGCAGTTGGTACAATTTATTTTGTAGATGATGTTTGATTTGTTTTCCTTTGTTATTTCATCCTTTGGTTTGCATAGGATTGATTGTAGTGATTTTGTTGGTTTGTGTGCCACACCTATCCCAAAGTTTTTCAGCAGTCTCGTTGCGGTTTCTGATATTCCTTTTATGTACGGTAGGGTGATCCTTTTGTTGATTTTTGTGCTTGACTTGGGTTCTGATGCTGTGTGCCGTTGGTGCTTTTTGATGAAGTTGATTGGGTAGCCGTTCTTTTGAAATATGTCCTTCAGGTGTTTCTCTTCATTTTTTCGTGCTGCCAATGTGCTGCAGTGTGTCCTCGCCCTCTTGAACAATGTGTGTACGCAGTTGATTTTGTGAGCTCTTGGGTTGTTGCTGTTGTAGTTGAGAATTTGATCTGTATGCGTACACACATTGTTCAAGAGGGCGAGGACACACTGCAGCACATTGGCAGCACGAAAAAATGAAGAGAAACACCTGAAGGACATATTTCAAAAGAACGGCTACCCAATCAACTTCATCAAAAAGCACCAACGGCACACAGCATCAGAACCCAAGTCAAGCACAAAAATCAACAAAAGGATCACCCTACCGTACATAAAAGGAATATCAGAAACCGCAACGAGACTGCTGAAAAACTTTGGGATAGGTGTGGCACACAAACCAACAAAATCACTACAATCAATCCTATGCAAACCAAAGGATGAAATAACAAAGGAAAACAAATCAAACATCATCTACAAAATAAATTGTACCAACTGCGACAAACACTACATCGGGCAAAGCGGACGCCCCCTCCATCTACGCTTACATGAACATCAATTAGCAGTCAAACGCCATGATATCTCTTCACTTATATCAATACACGTGGATAACTACGGACACTCATTCGATTGGGAAAATGTAGAAATCTTAGACAGAGGAAACTCCAAAAATACCAGAGAATTTTTAGAAGCCTGGCACTCAGGTCAATCAGCAATCAACAAACATATTGAAATCAATCCAATTTATCAACCAATCAGAAAAATCATGCATAAATATAGGAACGAAAATCAAACCAATGGAAGACACAACCAAAACAAAGAAGTAAACAATGATAAATTTAAGGTCAACAAGAACCAATCAACATCGAGGTGCACAGAACAAGCTGTGAAACACATATGGAGAAATTCTAACACTTCACTACTATTTGAAGTTTGTGCTGATGATGTCGTTCAGAAGAACGATGAAAGCTCCACGACCAAACTATCCAGCTCAGAGAACAAAACTCCACCAAAATCATCCACCTGAGCTACAAATCTTCTCCACCATCTCACTTATTCATGTGCCGTACCTAGTGTTGTTTGATCTTTTGGACATGAACGATAGTCGAAATGCGTCGTTTACCAAATAACTGACCTCACCATTACATTCAACCATATATTATTGCTATAAAGTTCAACTGAGTCCACAGTTACGCATTGTGCAAAATCTTTAATAAGTGTCTTGATGCTTCACTAACTCAACCAGTTGTTAAAGGTGGATAATGTCAAGTGAATTCTTGTCATCTTCGACTCACGTTAGTTCGTAAAGGCCATCGAAATAAGAAATTATTCCAAATTATTTGTTCGACATCCTGATGCGTGGGCGAGAATGATCATGATTGGTTGTCTGCTTAGTCAAACATGTAGATAATCTGACAGGTGTCAGACAAGTTATATATTCCCCTATCATTATTATGACCCACTCATTGTTGATTGTTCATTGTCGTTGGATTGTGTCGGGTTTTGGTGTGGAAATGCATTACGTTGTGGTCAGACTAATCACGTGTTCTTGGTCTGAGTTGTGTTGACTTCCTGTAAAATAGACACTGGGAGGGAATGTAGCGTAGATATTCGTTTAAGTTAAATTAACGTCCTATACATGTAAACGTGAAAACCCATCCGTTATAACATTAGACAAAGTAAAACCGAGGGTTATACCACATTCCAATCTTAGTAAACATTCTTCATAATTCATGAGTATTGAAGCCGATTTTCATATTATGAACGTAATATTTTTGTATCAAATACGTAGTACTATGTTCAAAAATGCTATATGCTATGGCTGTATATTATGGGGTTTTGCATGTAATCACAAAATAAATGCATATAATTTCTCTTTTTATCTTGTGTTTCCGTTTACTCACTATTATTCCAAGTTGAAATTGAAGTTGATTCTTTCGAATATTTTGTTCCTGTTTTCAATAATTCGTAGTTCGCTCCAATTTTAAACCAGTTAATGGGCTTAGTCGGAATGAACAGTACACAAGGTGGTGATTTAACAAATGCAATAGAAACACGTTTACCTATCGTTAAAGAAATAACAAAGCAGTTCAAAGATTCCACTCAGACTACATTTGTATGTGTTTGCATACCCGAATTTTTAAGCATGTACGAAACGGAACGCTTAGTTCAAGTGAGTTATTAATTCTATTTCGGCACAGTTTTATCGTCATTTTTTAAGTAATTATGTGATTTACTACTATGGCCTAATGACACATTAGATATTAGAGAAGGCTAATTTACTCACTTTTGTATTTTTGCTGTATATATATATATAATTGATAAGGGAAATTAGTGTAGGGGGTAGAAGTTGAAAACAGCCACTAAGTTCTTGCGAACTAAATACTATGTACCTTAGCATGCCATTCTAATAATACTACCAAATAGCTTAGTGGTAGAAATGAAGGTAAGGCTCGCGCATCTATCACGTTTTACAGCTAAGCTCTCGAAGGGCCAGGTTGTTTGTCTTGAAGCACACTCGCACAACTGCACTAGTTTCATTGTTTTTCTTTCACATTCATGTATTGATATGTCTGGTAATTAAATATGAAATAATTCAAACTTTGATTAGCACATAAACTTAATTCTTGTACTCAGAAAAGTGTTAGTTCAAATTGTCACATCTCTGGCAGCATTAAATTATTAAGTAAGCAATTAAAACCATTCTTATGTGAGAGGGAGCAATTAAAATCTTTAAAATATAGTAAGACCTATAAATAAATTTAAAATGGATTAGGCAATTTCCGGTAATCTGTTCACAATCATAGAAAACAGTTTCGATGTCAATCGGTGTTAATATTTTTTTCTATTTTCCCTGGCTGAGGACAAAGGCTTCGTAAGTTATTCGTTAAGCATTCTGTTTCTTTTCAAATTTCTAAAAATCCTTACTGTTTCATGTCCGTTGCACCCCTGGGTTGTCAATATCTAGAAGTTTAAACAGCCTTTTATTTATAAACAATCAATGTCTATGAGGTTTCAATATTTAGATATAAATAAATCGACACATCGTAACATGTTTAGTGTTCTGATTAATCTCTATAATAATAATGCAATAATTGGTGAAAGCGAGGACGAAAATTTGAACAAACAATAACTTCTATTTAAATACCAATACTATAAACAGGATTCAATACACATACGTGATCGGGGTGAATAATACAAAAACTGGGACAAATTTTCACCAGCGACAATTGATACTAAATATAGTAGCTAACCTTAGAACCCTTAGGCTACGGAATTTCGAATTATAACACTTATACTACTATTTTAATGTTCGTTTGCTTTCTCTTCTTTTGTTCAGCCTGTTTTTTTGTATGTTGCTTTATACTACTTGGTAATATTCAGTAAACAGTTTCATTTCTAATTATTTCTAAGCGTACGATGTAAGGCAAGTTTATTTGTTGCGTAATATCCTAAAGTATTTATATAAACTAATAATATTTGCTGTATTTACAACTATAATTACTTTCTACTAACTCTTGCAAAAGTTATCTCCAGTTTTTTTTCACACCTTAAGTCTGTTTTTTTAAAACTCAACAGTTTCCACATTTTAGTGTTCTTAGTTCCCATTTTGGTTGTTTTTGAATTGTTGTTAACACTAGACACAATTATCAGCTGTCATTTACGTTGTCGTATGTCGTAATTACTATTTATGTTATTATAACAGGGATCCCTTCCCTTTCCAGATATACAGATGAGTTAGTCACTACAGATACCACACAAGTGGTGTCGGTAACCAATTTATGTTTGTTCTTCAGTAACCGAATTATTATTTAGACAAATAGTTAAGTGCTCGCGCGCGAAACCAGTAGGTCCTGGTTTCGAATCTCGCAGGGGGCGAGGTCGTGGATGCGCACTGCTGAGGAGTCCCACGATAGGACGAAACGGCCTTCCAGTGCTTCCAGGTTTTCCATGGTGGTCTAGCTTCAACTGACTCATGATCTTTCACGTGAATCTCAATCGTGTAGCTGGACGTTTCAATAAGATTAACAGTCAACAACTAGTGTTTATCGAAAATGTCACTTTCTATTTACATTTTTAGTAACTTAGGAATTTAGTGAAAGGTGATTGAATGATATATAACGATTGGTTAGACAACATAATGGATTGTCGGTTATCGTTATTCCCATCTTGTAGCAGCATGGCCTAAAATCTAGTGTTAAGCAATTTCCACCTCACTGGTCTAGAACTTTGGTTTCTAATCCAGCTATTTCTTATCATATAATTTATTAGCGACAAAATTGTTCATCAGTAAATGTAAACACTTATCAGCAAAGTATAGCTGAGATTATTATAATCCAGATAGAATTATAAAGTTACCGGCATCGATTCTCTTGACTTGTTTCTTTTGAAAATGCACCACTCAGTTGGACCACTCATTTATCATTCTTTTATTGAAGTACTAGTACGTTAGTGAACAGCTTATAAATACAGCTATTGTTTAGTCAAACCAGTAGCTTGTGTTGCTAAATGTTAGATTTGATTTAAACTGAGGTATATTATGCTGCTAGAATGTCCATCCACGTCGTAGCACTCCGAAATATGTGTGCTTATTGACAGATAAGATTTATACCATCTTTTCCACACGACTTTTGACAAATGAGTGATACACAATTTTGATATGCCGAGTAGGGACGTACATGTTCCAATTATCAAACCTCTGTAAAAGTGTCAACGCATTTTTCTAACTCTCAGTATCCAGAACTGTGTATCTGATTAATCAGTTCAGCATTAGTGAATATCTCGATAGTGAGTGATGGTTTCAAATAAAAATTTGCATCCAAATAATAATTCATTTTGCCTTCAAATGCCCTGGTACGAACGAGAGTGGGGACAGTCTGCTCTCCCTCTCGAAATGCTCTCACATGGCCACGCGTATATAGCCTTTGTCAGGGAAATCCTACTCGCTGCCTTCTCGTGGCGGGGGTGTTGTTTACGAAAATGAGAGGACGAAAATCGAATGTCCGGCGCTTTAACCGGATTCCAAACCAGTGATGCACATGGGCTTTAGTATCCTGTGGGAACAAATGGCGTATGAACCAATTTCTGGTCACCGGCTTCCATGGGACTGCATCTCCTCACGATGCTCCACTGCCTTGCGGATCAGACCTTCAGGTCGAAGGCTCGGGGAGTGGCCCCCTAAGAAAACCACCTGTTTCGGTTTGGGCACCCGGGCAGTATCACAGCCCTCACACATGTCGAGTGAGATTTGTGTGGCGCATATGTATTCGGTGCCTCCTCGTACCAATATCTATGTGTTAATATAAATAAATCATTTTGATGAATAATTTTGTGTTCATGTTTCCTTTCGGCAAACGAATTCACTATTTTTTCAAACTTATACTCAATACTTACTTATGCCTATTAGCCTTCATGGCACCATCAGTCGCCTGTCAGGATTCTTTAAGCAACTGTATCCTGGGCTCTTCTTTTCAGTTGTTTGTGTGTGTGTCTGTGTTCTAGAACCTGACGTAGTGTCAATATCTATTCTATACAACCACGTCCAGGTCGGAAACCAGCCTGATTTTCTCTAGTCTGCTCTTTACGAGTTTTAGTTATGCGTCGAAGTATTATGGAAGCTAATATTTTAGACACTATATTAGTCAAACTGATTCCTCTGTGATTGTCACAAGAGGACTTTTGTCCATTCTTAAAAACTGGCGCAACCAGTGATTGAGACCAGTCAGATGGGATTACGTCCAGTTCCCAAATTCTACCTAACACCTCAGTTAATCTCACTGCTAATACTGAACCAGCATGTTTAAAAATCTCAGGAGTAAACCTGTCAGGACCTGCTGTTCTCCCTCGCTTCAGATTTCCTATGGCTTTTTCAACTTCGTAAAGAGACGGAGGACCTACATTAACTTGCCATTCAGGTTGACTGGAGATCGTGGGAAACCGAAGTGTGACTGAAGGGCAGTTGAACTGATCACTTAAGTGTTCTGGCCATCGATCTAATCTCCTGGATTGAGAATGTATAATATGTCCATCATTATCTGAGAGTGTTTCGCTAACCGTCGGTTTCCTAATCCTTGTTTCCTTAACGAGTCTGAACAATTGTCTGCTATTACCTATTGCTGCTGCCTTTTAAATCTCTTATGCTTTCGCTACCCACCACTGTTCACGATCATTGCGTAGACTTTTTGTCAGCTTGCGCATAGCTGCAACAGACGGTCGCCATTATCTGTCCTTTGAGCCACGATGCTATAAGATTCACCCAGGTGTCTTTCCCTTTCGTTTAGTTTACCTACTTGAGCATTAAAGTCACCAGTAAGACGCAGGGAAATACGCGCTCGTACTAGAGCATGATCTGAATCTAAGCATGTGCTCCAGAATGAGCGACAGTCTTCTATAGAGCCCCTCCATCGGTGGCTGATAGTGATGTGATTTATTTGGGTGCAACGTTGGGACGAATTAGGTGGTCGCCTTGTTAAAAGGTGTTTTTCCTTATGCTTAAAGTTAGTATTTGCAAGGAACAAGCGGTTATGTGAGCATAGCTGCAACAGATAGTTGCCATTATCTGTCCTTTGAGCCATGATGCTATAAGATTCACCCAGGTGTCTTTCCCTTTCGCTTAGTTTACCTACTTGAGCATTAAAGTCACCAGCCACTATCATTATATCAGAGCGCTTAGCTTTTCGGAGAAGGTTGGAAAGCTTTCTAAAAAAACTCATCTTTTATAGCATATGAGCTGCAGTCAGTGGGAGAATAGGCAGAGACGATGAAGAGGCAACGACAAGTGTCCCTATCTTTTCGGATCCTTACTGTTCCGTTCAGTCGGACAGCGCACAAACGACTGTCTACTGGGACCCAGTCTGAGAGGGCTAGTTCTGCCCTAGGACTAAATGCTATACCTACGTCAGCGAGGCCACGAGAAGCAGCATCAAGTCTTTCAGGTACACGAAGTGTGAATCGAGTCGGTTCTTTATTTTGGCATGGTGAGGTCAAATGAATGACGCTACTCGGATCTTGTATGCGCGTTTCGGAGACGCAGCACACATCGATGGCGCGGGATTCTAAAGTCCTAGTTAAGGAAGCCTGCTGTCCTATTCGGTTCAGTGTTCGGACGTTGAAAGCTCCTACGTGTAGTTTAGAGCGTGGTTTCAGGAGACCGGGAATAGCGTTCCGCGTACT